GTTGACCAACCTGATGAAAGTTGACCAACCTAATAATAGTTGACCAACCTGACGAAAGAAGACCAACCGAATAATAGTTGACCAACCTGATGTAAATTGACCAACCTAATGAAAGTTGACCAACCTAATGAAAGTTGACCAACCTAATGATAGTAGACCAACCTGATGTAAGTTGGCCAACCTAATAATAGTTGACCAACCTGATGTTAGTAGACAAACCTAATGAAAGTAGACCAACCGAATAATAGTTGACTAGCCTGATGAAAGTTGACCAGCCTGATGAAAGTTGACCAGCCTGATGTTAGTAGACAAACCTAATGAAAGTTGACCAACCTAATAATAGTTTACCAACCTGATGAAAGTTTACCAACCTGATGAAAGTTGACCAACCTAATAATAGTTGACCAACCTTTTGAAAGTTGACCAACCTGATGAATGTTTACCTGATGAAAGTTGACCATCCTTGTCTCTCTGTCTGTAGGGATCTGTTGCAGTTGAGGGCGGAGTTTTCTCGTCTCTCCTCCTCTCTCCTGTCCAGCTGTGACTCTGTCTCCTCCTCTCTGAGGCTCATTGCTCCTCCCATCAAACCCTTCTCCTCTGCTCCTCCCCCTCTTCTCCCCTCTGACCTCACTCCTCTGTCCTCCACCCTGGTCCTCCCTCCTCCAGACTCCTCATCATCTCTACCTCCTCTCACCTCCTCCTCCACAATGGGAACCTTCTCCTTAGGAGAGCTGGAGCACAGAGAGGAGCAGGAGGAGGAGGAGGAGAGGTGGGAGGAGAAGGAGCGAGAGATTTCAGAGTTGAAGCTTGTTCATGAGACAAAAGTTTTCCAGCTGACAGAACGGTCAGTTAGCTACTGAGCTAGCTAGCATGCTATGGCTAGTTTATTTATATATATATATATATATATATATATATTATATTAATGTTATATATTATACTGTTGATCTGTTCATATCATTTCTCTCATTGTGTACATTTGGTTAATTTTGCTTTATTGATTATCTTTATTTGTTTTATTTACATTCTTTCCTACTTTGTACTGCTACTGCTGCACATCAATAAAGTCTGTCTCCCAGCATTGAGGAGCTGTCTCGCTCGCTGCAGGCTGAGGACAGACAGAAGGAGGTGCAGAGACATGAGGACACAGAGAGGAGTCTTCAGTCGGTCAGTCAGGCTGTGGTCAAACTGGTGAGTCAGTGACATCACCACAGATCAGAGGTGAGAGGTCAGAGATTAGTGTGTGTTCTGTCTCCAGTCCAGAGTCCTGAGCAGCAGCAGGTCCATGAGCGTCTCCACAGACAGCGTCTCCACAGACAGCGTCCTCAGTCTGGACCTGTCCTCCCTGCTGTCTGTCCTGTCTCACACTGAGAGCGCCCTGCAGTGGAGACACGAGGAACTACAGGTGAGTCCACAGGAAGCCCCTTCTGCTGCAGGTCAGAGGTCACGACGTCATGAAGCTCGTGTGTGTGTGTGTGTGTGTGTGTGTGTGTGTTTGAACAAAGAGAAAGGCCGGGCCCTCCCTCTGTGCTGTGTCGTCCTCTGACAGTCAGCTGGTGCAGGTTATAATCAAATCAAAATATATTTACAGAAGCTAAACAGTTGCAAACTGAACACACTATTAATAACAAAACAAACACATCAATTCCATGAAATTGAGGTCCAATCCGGAACACCCAGCAAACTGGTGTGTTTGCTCGATGGCCCCCAGAAGATCTGACCGTGTCCCACAATTCACAGTCCCTCGTTTCTTCAAAGTGTCTCTGAAAATGTGTATCAGCTCAGTGATCCGATAAGCCCCTCCTGGCCTTTGACCCTTTGGCCTGATCAATCACTCCTCTCCAACCCCCGCTGGCACACACCTCCTTCCATTCCTGATGCCGGTGTCTCTGCTCTCTATCACCACATGGTCACCTCCTGAAGACCCTCGCTTTCCCTAATACTTAATACTTCTTCACAGTGTTTAATACTTCAATGACTATACTTTTAGGTTTAAGACCTCTACAAGTAAATACATTGTAACGTATAATATCTTCTTTAAGTAAACATGTTGTGACATTTAATACATTCTTCAAGGTGTGCTTTTAATCATACTAGAAATGTTTTTAAACTTCAATTCCTCACTGTGTGCGTGTGTGTGTGTGTGTGTGTGTGTGTGTGTGTGTGTGTGCGTGTGTGCGCGTGCGTGCGTGTTCTAAGGGGGCGGCGCTCTCTCTGCGGCGGCTCGGTGAGGAGAAAACAGCTGTTCAGCTCCGACTGAAACAGCTGGAGGATGACAACCAGCTGCTGCAAACACACTCACAACACACACAGCTGGAGCTCACACACACTGTGGACTTGCTGAGCAGGTACACACACACCCACACACACACACACCCACACACAGATAAAACATAGATAAAACAGTGTGTGTGTGTGTGTGTGTCACAGGGAGCGGGAGGTGTCGTCCTCACTGCATCTCCGGTTGGAGGAGGTGCAGAGAGAGAAGGAACGTCTGAGGAGGGAGAGAGACAGACAGGAGGAGAGAGACAGACAGCTGGAGACAGAAACACTCAGACGGTATGAATAATATTCTATATATTGTTTATATTTCATGACATATCTGATTTAAAACAGTTCATCGTTGTCTCAGAGTAAAGGCTGAAGCGATGGAGAAGCTCCAGCTGACGGAGACAGAGACTCTTCAGAGGATGGAGATCTTCTCTCTGAAGGTGATCACTGGTCTTCTTCTCCTCCATCATTCATTCACTCATTCATTAAGAGAGAGGCAAAGTCAGCAGCTCCTCCTCTCCTCTAGGGGGCGCTGGAGAGGCAGCAGCTGGACACCCAGAGAGCAGGAGAAGAAGCAGCTGATGCCAGAGACGCTCTGCAGAAGGTACAGCTGATGATGACGTCTTTATCTGAACATGTTAGAACCAATCAGTGAAGGTCAGAGGTCATCTGTGTTAATGTCTCCACATGAACATGTCTCCTCCTTGTGTCTCCTTCTCGTGTCTCCTCCCTGTGTCTCTCCCCCCGTGTCTCTCCCCCTTCAGTCCAGAGACAGAGTGTTGTGTCTCTCGTCCTCTGAGTGTGTGTTGAGGAGGGAGGTGGAGGAAGGACGTGACTCTTTGGACAAGATGGCCACCCTGAACTGGTCTTTGGCGTTGGACAAGAAGGAGCTGAGCAAACAGCTGCTGAAGGTACCGATTCTGTCTTCACCTGTCTTCACCTGTCTTCACCTGTCTTCACCTGTCTTCACCTGTCTTCACCTGTCCTCACCTGTCTTCACCTGTCTTCACCTGTCCTCACCTGTCTTCACCTGTCCTCACCTGTGTGTTTGCAGCTGGAGTGTGAGCTGTCTGACAGCCAATCACAGCTGCAGACAGTGAGGTCAGAGGTCACCTGTCTGCAGAGAGAGGTGAGAACCCTGAACCTGGACTCCAGCCAGCTCAGGTGAGTTTGTTTACATATAAACATTGAATCTGGATTGTAAATATGAATAGTATATATTGATAACATTGATCTCTGGTGTTGTCCAGAGCTCAGAGGGAGGAGGAGGTCGATGTCCTCTGTCAACTCAGAGAAGGAGAGAGAGAGATGAAGAGAACTCTGGAGGAGAAGGAGAGACAACTGGTCTCCCTGATGGAGGAGAGAGGGGGGGAGGGAGGTCAGCTGGAGGAGGTAAGGAGGAGGAGGTGACAGTCATGTGACAGCGCTACACCTGGCTGATGCATCATGGGTGTGTGTGTTGTCCTCAGCTGTTCTCCCAGCATGCCTCAG